AGACCTAATACACTCATCTAGATTGAGAGTCTTTAGATTCTTTGTTTCAACAATGGAAGTCTTCTTGGATTGCCATGACTCGGGAAGACTATATATCATCTTCCTAACAAGCTTCTCATTAGGAATGACTTCTCCAAAGCCTTTGAGACCATTGATAATAACTGAAAATCGATCAGTCATTCTCTTAATATCTCATTCGGTCTCATCTTGAAGTTTTCATAATTATGATTGAGAAGATTAATCTTAGTTTCTCTTACCTCATTAGTTCCTTCATGAGCAACTTCAAGTTTTTCTCAACTCTCCTTGGCATTGGAACAAGATGAAACTCACTCATATTCATCAGGGCTAAGTGCACAAAATAAAATATGCATTACCTTTGCATTGAGTTGGAACAATCTCCTTTCTTCTTCACTCTATTCATCATAGCTCTAGTTGGAGTAGAATGTCCACTCATCATAATGCTCCAAGCTCTCAAATAACTAGCTTGGATGAAAATCACCATCATATTCTTTCAATTGGCATGGTTGGCTCCATTGAAGTAAAAAGGCTTGTTGATAGATTGAAAATCATTGACAACGTCGAAGCTTGGTGTATAGTCCATGGATGACTTGATTGATGAATTGACTCTTCTATGATCTTCTTAAGATGTGGTAAAACCTTCTAATGAGTCTACCTCTGATACTAATTGTTGAGTCAATCAATTAAAGAAAATGGCCAAGAGGGGGTGAATTGGCAATTTAAAAAATTATTGATGCTTTTGGAATAAGTAAGAAAGTGACACAATGATTTTAGAGTGGTTCAACTTCTTTAATGGAGTCTACACCACAACCTTAGCTTTCTAACTAAGGATTTCAAAAAAAAAATATTAATTTGTTCTAACCTTTTAGGATAAAATGTAACCTTACACAACACTAAGACTTATACCCAAAGTCTTAAGTGTTCAACTCTTCTCAATAAGTGATTAGAAATGAGCAAACTTTGAATATCCTCACAAAGATAGAATGTTTGCAAATTGAAGCTCTCACACACACCCAAGAACACTAGAATGAAAAATACAATGAATGGAATAGTATTTTATGCAAGAAAGATAGAATGAAATACAAATTTGACTCTAATTGCTCTTTGATTGTTGGAATAGTTTTCTTGTCTTCTCTTGACTGTTTAAAGATCCATTTTATATGTCATCATTGATTTCTAGTTATTTGTGGTTGTTGGATGGAGTTTGGAGCCGTTTGAAGTATTAAATTCGTGCATTGAATGCAAACCTGCACAGAGGTTTTGAAAACCACATAGGGGTTTCGAAACTCTCATTTAAAATATCTGACCGTTGAATAGGGGTTTCGAAACCTTAAGGCAAACTTTAAATATTGCCTTAGGGGTTTCGAAACCATGCTAAAAAAATCTTAAACATTGCCTTGTTTCTTGTTACAAAAAAGTTTTAAGACTTCATAAATTTCAAAAACATTTTTAAATTTATTTTTGATATTTTAAACTTAAAAAATATTTTTACAAACTTGGAATTTTTTTAATCGAATAGGATATTATTTTTATTAAAATTTTAATTTAGTCCTATTTTATATCAGAATTATTTAATTACATTTATCAGTTAGGTTATTAGATTAGAGTTAGATTGGTTTGGGCTTGGTTGATGGGTATTGGGCCCGTAAATAACATAAATAATAATAATAATGTAATATCCAGATAAAAAGGGGTGTGTAGAGTAGTGACATTGATTAGCTCTTTATCACCCTAAATATATACAGATTAGAGAAGGGTCATGAATTCTAAACACGATTATCATATTCCATGTTTGGTTAGGCATAATGTCCTGCATTTCTCATTGCTTTTTACCCAAGTTAACAACGCATCATAATGGCCTAACAAACTATTAATCAAAGTCAAAACTTTGTCCAAAGCATGAATTATGGAAGGAAAAACAGTACTAAAAGTTCCTTAAACATTTAATATTGTAAACTAGTCTTCAAGGTGTTAAATATAGTGCAAGTATGATTTATAGTATATAATAAATGGATGATTCTGCCACGCTTGATGAGTAACATTAATTTAGTTTCTAAAACTTTAAAATTATAAAGTACTCAATGTATAATTATAAATTAGTTAAAAATCTAAACAATTATAATAAAATAGTTAAAATCTACATTACATTTTTTTATAATCTTATTTTTAATAATAATTAGATCAAATATTAACTCCTAAATTAAAAAATTCTAAATTCTTTTTTTTTTTTGCTTTGAAGTTGCTGTAACCACTGTCACCGTTGTCATTGTCGCAGCTATTGTTGCTATCGCCATCGTTACCACTGTTGTCATCGTTGTTGCTATCGATGTCATTGATATTATCATCGTCACTACTGTTGTTGTCGTTGATGTTGTCGTCGTCTCTGCTATCATTGTCATTGCCGTCACCGCTACTGCCACCGCGTCAAAGCAAGAAAAAAGAATTTAGTGTTTTTTATCTAGGAGTTAATATTTGATCTAATTATTATTTAAAATAAGATTATAAAAATAATGTAATTAATATTTTATTTTAAACAATTTATATTTAGATTTTTAACTAATTTATAATTACACGTTGAGTAATTTATAATTTTAAAGTTTTATAAATTAAATTAATGGTGTTTATCGATACTCGTCGAGCGTTGTAAAATTTTCCTATAATAAATATAGTATACAATTAATAATTCAAATTATTCAATTTCAATTAATTCGATTAACTAACTAAACTAACCGAAGTTATGTCGATTCAATTAAGTGTATCCCATCTATACAAATTAGTTACATTTTTATAAATTATAATCAATTAAGTCATTTGTTTATTGAGGAGTACGAATAAACGGTCAAATACTTCATAGTCTTTAGTGCTCAAACTTAAGATCACTAAAAATAACAATTATTAATCATTGAAGTAACTTGATTCATGCTAAATATTATAATTATTAAAAGTTTTTTAGAAGAAATTTTAATGGAACATGTGAGTTTGTTTTAACAACTAACGACATTACAACAATAATAGTAAAGAGAGTGAATGAGAAGTTTAATGACGAGCATGCAACTTTTAAAAAATTGGCAGTTAAAGTAAATGTACCTAAACGTTCAGTGACCTATTAATATACTTTACCCTATTTTGTATTCTATAATCAGAGGTTAACTAATAAATCAAGTTTTGGTTACTTTTACTTGCAGCACTGCTGCTACTGGTCAACAGCTTTCATTCAAGAAACGCTCAAAATATAAAAACATCAAAAAGCAACAACCTTTCCACATCTATATATATACATAGGTTTTTAGAAGGTTGTGCAAATTTGGGTACTCGGATTTTTGGGTATTTGATTTTTGGGTATTTGGAATTTTCGGGTCGATGATTTTTCGGCCCGTGTCTCGATCCGAATGTTATGGGTATTCGGTAATCGGGTATCCGGATTTTACGGGTACTCAATAATCGGGTATCCGATATCTGGTTTTTAATTTTTTATTTTTAAATTTTTAATTTAAAAAAATATATACACAAATTTAAATGTTCAAAACTTCGAATTACATACTCTAATATCTGAACATAAAATTTAAAAGTTCGAAATACAAAATATAATAATCCATAATATAAATAATTCATTATATTTTATATAATTATATATAAAAAATAAAAATTAACCGGGTACTCGGGTAACCGGGTACCCGAAAAAAACTAGATTTTGTGACCCGGGCCTGACCCGGGAAATGTCGGGCCGGGTACCCGTCCCGACCCGGCCAGGTAATTGTTTTTAGAAAATTACCCGGTTTTTTAGATCCGGGTCGGCGGGTCGAGTAATTTTGCATACCCCTAGTTTTTAGAACCGGACCGGTTAGCGAACCGGTCATGCTATCGATTCACTGGTTCAACCAGTCGAATCGATCCGACCGGTCGAAAGAACCGGATGACGGTCATAATTATTTAAAAAATTAAATAAAAATATCAAAAATATTTAATAAAAAATAATTTTTTATATTACAAGTCATATTCAAAGCAAGTCATAACATATATAAGTTAAAAACCATAAAATCAAGTGAAACAAAATGATTCAAATTAACCACAACATAATATTTAAGGTAAAACATATTAAATAATAAATATAATTATATAACTATAATTAAAAAAAATTTGGGGCTAAAAAATCATAACAAAATAATATTGTTTGGTATAATTTTTTTTAAAAACAATCCCACATGTCTAAGAAACATAGAAGATCATCCCAAAAGTCTAAAGAGTAAAAATATGATAACAAAATAATCCCACATAGCTAAGAAACATAGAAGAGCATCCCAACTAACTTCTATAAATAATAGAGGTAATTTGACATTCAAAATCATTGAGCCTTTTGGTGAACATTGAGTGAACTATTCTTTCACTTCAATCAAGCTCGAATTTTAGGCTTCAATCTAGCTTCTAAATTTTTTTTTGAGTTCAAGCCTTTTCGAGTTCAAGTTTCAATATTATATTTCGAGTTCGAGTTGAACTTAATAATTTTTAGCTCGTGAGTTTGAGTCGAGTTTAGCTTACTTTTAAAGTTTTTAAGTTCGAGTCGAGCTCAGCAATACTCGAGTTTGACTTGGGTCGTTTAACAAACAACGTTGTTTGGTTTAATTTAAAAAAAAAAACAAAATTAACGGTTTTTTCTGGTTTTTTTCGGTTTTCAGCCGGTCTGGTTTGAACGGTTCAGCGGTTTCGGTCTGAACGATTTAGCGGTTCCGGTCGATTCACTAATAACGGTTCAATCGGTATAGATTGAACCGGACTAGACAGTGATTCTTTGTTGAACCGACTGATCCAATCCCGTTTTCAAAACACTATATATATATATATAAATTGTCCTCTTATATGTACATATCTAATTATAAGTATCTACAACATCTAATGTTGTTCTTAACTTTTTAATTATGATTAAACCCCATCAACCATTACACAAAAAAGTCTCCTCTTTTGGTTTCTTTTTCAGAGCTTCACCCTTTTTATGCCAAAGTTGCACTCTTTAACCTTGGAAAACAAGTCTCTAGATATGCAGCCATGAAATATCCTCTCCTTCATAACTTACTTCCGGTGCAAAAACTGAAGCTTTTCTTCACCTTATACCGAGAAACCCGTTTTTTCTTTGACAGCTCAATGGGGTGTTTAATCGATCTGAACACGACCGGGGAGGATGAATCATCGTTGTGTGGTTCTTTATCCCCATCTTCGGTGCTAAGTGCTTCTGGTTTTAGTTCTTCAGTTTGTTTAGAGCTTTGGCATGCTTGTGCTGGTCCACTTATATCTTTGCCAAAGAGAGGAAGCATAGTGGTGTACTTCCCTCAGGGACACTTGGAACAAATTCCCGGTTTTTCAGGCTTAGCTTCAGCATATGATCTTCCCCCTCATCTGTTTTGTCGGGTTGTTGATGTCAAGCTCCATGTAAGCTTAGCTACATGTGGTTTCTTAAAGGGGAGAGTTTTAAAGTTTGGATTTTTTAAATAATAATTCAATTATTGTTTGAGGTTTTGTTGGTTTTAATTATGATTTGTTTTGGGCTTTCCATTGCTATGAAAATTTATGTTTTTGTTGGCAGATGAGGTCCATGTAAACAGATGAGGTTTGTGCTCAAGTTTCACTGGTTCCTGAAAATGAGGTGAGTTTTATTCTATTTTTTCTTGTATGGTTTACCCATATAATCAGTTTGAATCAAGTTGCCTTCACCTTAGGTGCTTCATTTTGTCATGGTCGGAGGAGAAGAGGAAGAACGAAGGAACGAGGAGGATTTGGGAATAGAGGAACAAGGGTTAGGGATTGAGGAGAGTAATTTGGGAATTGAAATCAGAAAAGGGTCTGAAGCACGAGGGAGTCATGTGTCTCACTTATCTGATGGGTTGGAGCAGACTAAGGAGTACCAGACGAGATGGAGTGGCCCTATCAAGATGGCCCAATACCTGCAGCACCAAAAGAAGGATAAGAAGCAGTTGGTTAAGCATTCTGTTAGTACAGAATGCCAGCTGAAATTGTTAGATTTCCCGTACTAGCTAGTAACTAAATAAATACCTGCTGTGTAATCAACATTTCCCTTATGAAATGAATGATGAACTTTCCTTTTCTCTAAATTCTCTCTTCTTCTATAATCTCTATTCTCGTAATCTTCTCTATTTCTCTTCAATCCATAACAATTGGTATCTAGAGCCTCAATTCCTGGCAATTTTTCAGTGGGTGTGACAAAGACAAACCAGAATATGGCTGAAACTGATTTTTCTGTACTTCAAAAACAAATTGAAGACAACTACAAGAACAAATCAGTTCAGAGAATAAACAGGTAAATATTCCTAACCTTCCTAAGACTGATGGGAAGAAACCTATGTTAGTGACAGGGAAGAATGAATCTCGATTTTCATATAAGATCAGTGAATCTGAAATCCTAAAATCTAAACCAGCACATGGTGACTCCACTAATGAGTTCACAGCCAAGGATATTAGGATACTTCACAATAGAGGGCATAAACTGTTTGAAAAAATGTCTAAGCTAACGTTTCAGCATTGGATAGATCATGGCAGTAATGACAAAATGTTAAGACAAGTTTTCACAGGTGGTGTTGATAAATTCATCAAATGTGAGTTCAATGTCGAGGGGATAAACCTCTACATGAACAGAACAAAAAAATGGATTAGGTTGGAATTTGCACAGCAACTTCAAAATCAAATGGAGATTCCAGATGCACTAAGAAAGAGAATCGTCCCTTATTATGATACGGGATGGAGGATGGACCACTATAAAACTCAAATTCTACAGTGCCAAAAATCTGCTACAGAACATTCCTTTAAGGCAGTGTTGACAAGTGTTTCCAAACCAGGTGGTGGCGAGTTTGGAAGGTTCTACAGCTTGCCTGCCCTGAATGATCCAAGGATTGATAAACTGCCATACTCTATTAGAATCTTGCTTGAATCTGCGGTTCGTAACTGCGAAAACTTCCACGATTTCACTGGAGTGCTTGCTGAGGTTGACCTTGCTTGTAGGCGTAATGCAATGCACAAACTTGACAGTGATACAATTAATCCTATGGTTACTGTAGATATTGTCATTGACCATTCAGTTCAAGTTGATGTAACCAGATCAGAAAATGCAGTACAAGCAAACATGGAACTTGAGTTTCAGAGTAACAAGGAAAGATTTTTTTTCCTTAAGTTGGGATCTATTGGCTTTCATAAAATGCTTGTTGTTCCTCCTGGTTCTAGTAGTGTGCATCAAGTTAATCTTGAATATATCGGGCGGGTTGTTTTCAACACCAACGGAATGTTGTACCCCGATAATGTGGTTGGAACTGATTCCCATACAACTATGATAGATGGTCTTGGAGTAGTTGGTTGGGGAGTTGGTGGTATTGAAGCTGAGGCAGCCATGCTTGGTCAGCCTATGAGCATGGTTTTACTTGGTGTTGTTGGATTAAAGTTATTTGGAAAATTAAGAAATGGTGTGACATCTACTAACTTGATTATAACCGTGACACAAATACTGAGGAAGCATGGTGTTGTTGGCAAATTCGTTGAGTTTTATGGGGACAAGTTAGAGTATCTAAATGTTACTGATTTTCAGCTTTTAAAGGAAGCTGTTGATCTTGACATCCGTATCCAAATTGATAAAGACAGTGGGATAATAACAATTATTGATTCAGGCTTGGGTATGATAAAACAAGAACTTGTTGATTGTCTTGGAACAATTAAACAGGGTGGAACTGCTAAGTTCTTGAAGGCTGTGAAGGAAAGCAAAGATGCTGGTACAAACAACAATTTGATCAGTCAGTTTGGAGTTGATTTCTATTCAGCATATTTGGTTTCTGACAAGGTAGTTGTTTCAACAAAGAGTCCGAAATCATACGTACGGGAAGGAGAAGTAAATGAAAGCTCCTATTCTATTTGGGAGGAGACAACTCCAGAATGGCCTCAAAAGCTTGTGAAGAATTATTCACAAATTGTTTCTTTCCAAATTTATACATGGCAGGAAAAGGGAATCAATAAAGAGGTCAAAGTTGATGGGGACCCAGTTGAAGCTAAAAAGTCTGGTCAAGATGAAAACATTGAGAAAAAGAAGAAAACAAAGAAGGTTGTGGAGAACTACGGGGATTGGGAACTTACAAATGAAACTCAACCTATTGGGAATATGCTTACTCATCTATTGGACTATGTGGGTGTATTACGTCGGAATATTATGGATTTAAGGATATACTCTAGGGTGGAAGAATATTTTAGTGGCTATGAAGGATCAACTCTCCTTAGTTGGTATAGAGAAATTATTGACAGAAAAATTATTCTTGTCAATGTGGTTAATGCTAAAACTTATGAGGTTACTGTTGCAGATTATAACAGTCGTTTTTTATTTGGGTACACATCAGTTCGATCAGATTTGGTTGTTGGAGAACTTAGAATGTTTGAACCAATTGGAAATTTTTTCCTTAAACTTCAACTGGTGGAGATAATTGCTCTTATCGGAAGGGAAATAGAAGGTGCTGAACTAACTGTTGTGGCAGTGATTCTAACAGTTGAAACCCAACAATGGGTTTGGGGCAAATATAAGAAGTATGTGGGGTCTAAGTTTGGGTCTATTAAGCTGCCAATCCAAGGACCATGCCTAGCTATTGGGTTTCTACCCCTCCATTTTGATGATATTCGAGTTGGGCAACTTGTTACCTTGAAACGAAGAAATGAGAGGCTAAAAGATATACGGAAGAGCATAGTTTCACAAAACAATGATGCAGTGTTGTATGAAGTGAGTGTGAATCCAGATAAACCACCTACTCTGCTATGGTGTTTAGAATTAACAGTGTATAAGGTCCCAGATATGTTACAAAACAAAATTAAACAACATGCTGATAGAAATCGAAGTGAAAGACAGTTTCAATTCAAAGAAGAAGTATACCTAAATTTGCAGCTCTACAGGCAGACATCCATTGCCCTGCGAAGGAAATTGAAGTTAGCAGTGAAATTTTATGGACCTTATGGAATTCTGGAAAAAATAGGAACAATAGCCTATTGGTTGGACTTACCAGATTCCTCTCGCTTGCATCCAGTATTCCATGTGAGCCTCTTGAAGAAGTTCATAGGCGATTCATCCACTGCTGTCACCAAGCCTCCAACAGTTGATGAAAAAGGGCTGTTACAAATCAAACCCTTAAAGATTATGGGCAGAAGGATTGTAAACAGAAATGGCAAAACTGTGACTCAACTTTTGGGTCGCTGGGAGAATCTCGATGAAGAGTATGACACTGGGGAGGATTATTCGACTCTAAAGGGACAGTTTACTGCGTTTGATCCTTGGGGACAAGGCTCGTCTCGAGGGGTGGGTATTGTCATGGTCGGAGGAGAAGAGGAAGAACGAAGGAACGAGGAGGATTTGGGAATAGAGGAACGAGGGTTAGGGATTGAGGAGAGTAATTTGGGAATTGAAATCAGAAAAGGGTCTGAAGCACGAGGGAGTCATGTGTCTCACTTATCTGATGGGTTGGAGCAGACTAAGGAGCACCAGACGAGATGGAGTGGCCCTATCAAGATGGCCCAATACCTGCAGCACCAAAAGAAGGATAAGAAGCAGTTGGTTAAGCATTCTGTTAGTACAGAATGCCACCTGGAATTGTTAGATTTCCCGTACTAGCTAGTAACTAAATAAATACCTGCTGTGTAATCAACATTTCCCTTATGAAATGAATGATGAACTTTCCTTTTCTCTAAATTCTCTCTTCTTCTATCATCTCTATTCTCGTAATCTTCTCTATTTCTCTTCAATCCATAACACATTTTCTTTAAACTGATAGGGATAGGACAATGGCATCATTATGAATTAAAAATCATTGTTTAATGATGAATTTAACCCCTTTTTTAAAATCTGGTTCATCATTTTGTTGTTTAATGTACTTCTCATTTTGTTTGAAGTTGATTCTGAAATTTTGGGTCTGATTTTGTGTAAGTTTTGCAATGCAGCAAACTGAGCGAATGTTGCAAGACGGGAAGGCGGAGGCAGACGGTGACGAGGCCGATTCCAAAGCAGATATTAAGTCAACAACACCGCACATGTTCTGCAAGACCCTTACTGCTTCTGATACCAGTACTCATGGAGGCTTCTCAATTCCTCGTTGAGCTGCTGAAGATTGCTTCCCTCCCTTGGTAAGTCACTTGCACTTTCTTTATTTCTACATTTTTGTTCTTGATTTCTTCTGT